TCAGCAGCAGCATATATATATATATATATATATATATAATATGTTAAACAAGCATAGGAAAATAAGTACTATTTGATTTCATCAAAGGGTTTTTAACTATAGTTCAACAAAACAACAACAACTCGCAAAAAGGAAAGAAGAACAACTATATAAATAACCACCACAAAAAACCCAATAGAAGTCTAAGAAAATTATAATATAAACTGAAGTATCGAGTATGATACTACTAATGAAATGTCTGTACTTCCAATGACAAAGAACGAAACGATCTTGTAACATTTGTTAAAAATAAAAGTTTATCACGAATGCGTATGATATTCAAACCCTACTAGTAATTCTTATTTATTGAAGCATGAAGGGTAAAAGGCACAATTTACAATATAGTAGCAGCATAATGATTGTCATCAAATCATTAGGCTAGCAAAACATTATGTGGCATAAAAAACAAGGGCCACATATCCTGAGTTGATTTACAATATGGTGATGGTTATGATCATCAATACAAAAATATTTATGAATGCATTTTCATGCTAATATATTCAAGTGCAATCACGTTGGGTATAACCATATATATTTAAAGATTACTCTTCAATTTTATATCATTATTTTTTATATCTATATCTATCTATCTAACTCTATATATATATATATATATATATATATATCTGTATGTGTGTATATATATATATCTGTATGTGTGTGTGTGTGTGTTACATAAAGGTTGTATGAGAAGAGCCCAAAGAGGAACCCTACTCATACGATACAATTACAGTAATACCCCAACAAAAAGATACAGTAGACTCAATAAAATGTAAAACAAATTTAAAACATGCAGAAAACAGGAAAGTTTTACTAAAATATCCTAAAATCAGGAAAGTATATGTTGAACCACCCATATAAATAGTGCAGCGACTCTCAAAAGAGTTTGTGTGTGTGTGTCAACCAGCTAGAACTATTGATCGGCTAGTTGAGAACAACAGTTAGCTGTTGGAACATAATTCATTAGCATAAAAGCTTTGGTAGACCAGGGGCAAGATTGGTCAGTTCTTTCTGTCAAGAAAGGATAGTCCACTAGCAGGAACCTTCCCTATTCACTTTGGTTGTTTTTTACATGGTTAGATAATGTGACTATGGGTTAAAGAGTTCGGAGTACTTGACTGCAAATTTAAGCAATTTATGCCTTTATTACAAAAAGAAGAAATCACATATAGGTTTATACAAAATTCTCATTATTTTATTTTTGTTTTGAGCATTGAAGGAAAAATTAGTTAATTACATTTGGAGTCAAATTAAAACGAGGAAATGCTTATGCTATCCACGAACACACGTCCTCATACACACATTCTTACATGATTTTTTTTCGCTTGTTATTTGGGCGGTTAGAAGAGGACGTGTAGCTAGCAATATATATCTTCTCTTTCTAATTTGAATGGAGATGTATTTTGAGTCAATATTTTTCCAGAAATTTGAAACCTTTTAACGTGCAGGGATTGCAAGTGGTTACCAGATTGTACGAAGGAGGAATTACTGCAATATGCTAAGTGCGTTGAAAAGGCTTTAGTTAGAACTGTAAGCTTCCTTTGCATATTATGGTTTTTTCCTTTCGTGTTCAGGCATTGGAGCCTGTTGAGTTTGATTCTGATGTGTTTGGCTAGTGGTGCAGGTTAATGAGAGCAGCTCCGGACGAGAGCATGTGGTTCCTAGTATTTTGCAGTTTGGGTTTACTTTGTTGGAGTCAGTGGATGTGAAGAAATGTGAAGGAAGTGACACTCCTGATGGACTGATGAGCTGTGAAGAACTTGGAATTCATATGCTTAAAACACTGTTTGAGGCTCATGAAATGGCACGAAATCAGGTTTGCTTCATTTTTATTTGCTTAATTGTTCTGGATACTTGTTAGGCCCTTTGTGTCGGCCCTCATGTTTTTCCATGGGGTGGGGTGCTGCTGGGAAATTTGGTCATACGTCTTCATCTAATAAAAAAAATTGCTCTCTCACTTACATTTTAGAACATTACAGATCAACTCAAAATGAGATTCACATAATATTAAATGCGTGAAGAACACCATGATATGAGTGAGATTATGAAAGTCTAGAGCAGCAAGGTCATGTGCATTATCAACAAGAAAGTCATTTATAGCGGTTGAGCTTCTCAATTGAGTATGTGTACACTTTTTATGTTGTCCATTGAGAATTCTATTAAACTATATTCACTTGCCAATGACGACAAAATCGATGCACCTCTTTTTTCACAAGTAGTGTAAATCTAGGGGTGCAAATGAGCCTAACATGAGTCAGCTCATAGCTTGTTCGTGTACGGTTTGTTCAAAATGACTCATGAATAGCACGTTTGTATTTGACTTCATTCAAAATCATTTGTCGAATTAGCTCGCGTTCTTCAACTCGAATTTGTGCTTGAGCTTTTTATCAAACCTAGCCATGCCTCGAGCTCTCGTTCAATTTATATTTAAGATTATTAAAAATGTAAAGAGAGTTTTGATATATGCTAGAAAATTCCCGGCGGTAGAGTAATGAATTATTTTCTTTGTGTTGTATGAGAATTCAACACACAGTGAAATAAAAAAAGACAACAAGTAGTGACACCAGAAGTTTTTACGTGTAAAACCTATAATGGAAGAAACCACGGGATCTGACCCATTTGTAAAAATTTACTATAAGTTAATGATTACAGAGACCCTTTGTCCCATTGTTATAAAGTTTTTTGAATTACAACTTCGACGTGCAAATAAATTTATTGTAAGAAGCGGGCGACGATCGATGACGATCGGTGGAGGCTGACCGGTGGTGGTTGACGACAATCAGCTGCAGTCGGCGGTGGTCAACGACGATCGACGTTGATAGGAGTGGTGTTGGACTTTAACTCATTCTCAAAACATCGAGTTCTTTCTCAAGCCTCAAGCTTTCCTCCCCCTCATGAGAGGTGTTATTGGTGCAATTAATGCAGAAATATGAACCACTTTGATCGGATGATCCAAAGAGCTACCTTCGAACGGGAGTACCACCCAATTCTTATGTATTTATATATTTAACATTTAAACGTAGAAAAAAAGTCTTGTGGTATTTATAGACATGCCATCCAATTTTTATGTATATATATTTAATACTTCAGATTTTTTTTTTACATTTATACGAACCAAATCTTTGATATATCATCAAAGATACCACTAATTTTATTTTTACATATTATTTATTTATTTTTTAATTAATTTGAAGCAAAACAAGCCATACATGATTGAACAAAAGTTTGTTCATGTTTGACTCGTTAATAAATCGTGCTAAAAATTATTCATATTCATAAAATTGTCAAAAAAATTTGTTGTTCGCGAACAAGTTGTTCTTGTTCGGCTTATTATGTAGTTCCCGTTCGAATTGTTCGTTAAGAGAGCTAAACACAAATAAATTTTTTAAGCTTGAATTATAAATGAGCTGAACATGAACTATTTTTTTTTTCTATCATTTTTTTAGTTCATTTAGCTCGAATAAGGAAACTAAATAATTTTATTTATATAATCACAACTCTTGTGGTTATGTGGTTATGTGGTTCCGCGCCTTTTATTGCATAGGAATGGTGCATGTTTTGACATTTCACATCTATTTTTTTAATTAATTTAAACGAGCCAATCCGAGCTGAGCACAAGTTAAAAATGAAAACAAGTAATTTTCGAGTTGAACACGAATAGATTGTTCACGAGCAATTTCATAAATCAGTCAATTTAAAAAAAAAAATAATAATAAAATAAACGAGCTGAACACATGCACATATCTAACTCGCTCAAGCTCGACTTGTTTACACTTTTATATGTCCGGCTCGTTTGTTTAACAAACCAATCGAACATGAGCTATATAGCGAGTCGAACGCGAGTTGTTCATGACGACAACCTTTTTTGATAGCCTGTGTAAACCATGACCTTTTTTTTCAGCCTCAATATCCAAACGGTTGGGTATACTAGCATAAGTACAGGGAAAAAACAAACTCAATTGAAGCTTTTATATATTATAAAACTTGCGAGTCAAAAAGCTTAGATTAATATGAAAATTTTTAGTATGAAAATAATTATAAGGAATGTAGTATCAAATAGTTTCCTGGTAGAGCTTAGATTAATTTGAAAATTTTTAGTATGAAAATGACAACAAGGAATGTGATATCAAATAGATTCCTAGGAGTAGCCAAGGGTATCGATAGATAAATTCAGAAGGTGTTCCAAGTTGAAGCTTGGATAAATACACTAGAGAAGGAAACAAAAGAGCAATTTTGAGCTTAGAGATTATTTATGTATGCAGAGATAAAAACGACCTTAATGATAGGGCCTATTTATAAGCAAAGAAGAGCATAGGATGGTAGCCAATATCTAATGATATTGTTAGTTATAAATAAGATAAATAGAAATTAACAAATATGAGAAAGTAAATACAAGATAAGTAAATTTAGATGATTGTGAATAATTTATAATTTTTACTTAAGCTTAATTAGAATAATAAATAAGATTATATGACTAACAATTATATGAGCATAGGTTAAATTTAATTAATCCTCTTAAATTTTTTTATGAAATTCTTAAAAACAAGCTCTTTGCAGTGATTCTTAAATTAGAAGGATTATATATTCTTAGTAATATAAGTCATTATTTTGGTAATTGTATTAGCCATAAAAATTAGGTGCAAATGAATATGATTTAAAGTTGAAGATAAGTTTTCTCTTTGATATAATTCTACTTTCATTAATCATGATAGAGGATAATTATAAATAAATTGGAATCAAAATATTTATTAACTTAATTAGTAAAGAGAGCAATGAATACAAATACATATTAGTAAAATAATAATAATAATATGAGTAATAATTGAAAAATAATTTGATTAATTAAAACATGCTTGAATTTTAAAAGTTTGATATTATGTTTAATAGGCTGTTAGTATCAACATAAATATTATTGTGACACCAAGCTAGTTACCCGAGTATTGAGAATTTAATGTGTAACTGATGTGGGTAATTATATTTTTAAATTATAGGAATATTTTTTTAAGAAGAACTCCAAAATAATCTCTCGATTATTATTAGGTGTCCAATTTTGTTCTCGAGTTTTAAAATGTCCAACTTTGTCCCCAACTATTAAAAATTATTTTTGAATTGGTCATAAATAAAAATTTTCGATTTATTTAACAGTTTCTTTCATATTTTGAAGGGTACTTCCATCTATTTTCAAAATTCATGAATTAAACACACGAAGGGCTCATTTATATGCAGAACAAACTCACCATAAATTTAAATCTTTGCTGCTCCTCCATTCGTGCGACTTCTCCCCTTTAATTTCATCATCTACAGAGTAAGCAACTCAAGGGGTGTACTCATTCGCTGCTTCTCCACTTGACAGAGTAGTCCCTGTCTCCGTCTCCATCTGCGGTGCTTGCGTTGATGACAAGGCTTCGTCTCCATTTGAGCTCTTCCGCATCCCCCTCGACCATTGTTCATTGCAAAGAGAGGCGGCTTTGACCTACGTCAGTTCAACCTGAGGAAGCTACGACTCCTTTCAGGTAAATACGACACCATAAGTTTGTAGAGGAGTAATTCATTAAAAAAGAAAAAAATGTAATATACGTGGCAAAAAAATTATTTAATCGGATTTAAAAGCAGAAAACGGTGGAGAAATTAGATTTTAGATTTTGTGATGTTACTTTTAATCGTAGTTGAGTAGTATTTAATTAAATTTTAAGCAAGTTTTTTTCGAAATCTAACAAAACAACATATACAATAATTTTTATGTCGAATATATTTATAAATAATTACATAAAAGGAAATACCATTCAATTCATGTAGATCAACGTTAAATTTACCTAAAAATATGATTTATGAACAATTTAGAGCAAGTTTTAATAGTCTGAGATTAAATTGGAGTATCCTATAACTCTGAAACTAAACTTGACACTTGTTAATAGTTTGGGGATTATTTGGACTTTTACTCTTTTTATTTCTAAGTGTATTTTTTATGTTAATTATGCTTCATACTAGTGAGATTTAAATTCAATCGACTCTTCTTCTTGCTAGACATAATATGCATATGTTAACATTTTTATGTAAACAATTGCACAAAGATTTTTTCTTAAAAATACATTTGATTATTACATGACTTTTAGATTATATTAGAAGTGCATTTATTCATTGGTTGATAAATAAAAAGTGTCTCCTAGGAAAATAATGCATTCTATGAAGAATGAAATACAAATGTTGTATATATGAACTACTTGTATACGTGTGATGACATAATGAGTGCACACCTTTATGATACTGGTTGGGGGCGCCAATGCACTCACATGCTTAGATTTTTTTTTAACACCTCAGACAATTATGAAATTTAGATCACAAATCACTTTGCCGATGGGAGACCATCGATCAGGGTGAGTATGCACTTTTTCACCTATGATAATAATCGACTTGGTCTATACGCCACTGTGTCGGTGATGTATGTATTGTATTGCCCAGGAAGTATGCTAGGTTTTGTTTAGAAAATACTCTTGAGATGAATGTACAAGTTACGATTAAGAAGTGCATTAAAATTTTAAAAATTAAACCATGAAAAAATAAAGTGAATGCCAATGCATATGAAAATTTTAGATTTTAACTGAGTATATTTTTAATTTTTTTATATGATTTTCTATATCATAATAAAAAATATTGGCATACATATTGTCCTTTTTTATCGAGTTATTATACTTTATAAGTCTAATTACTTCACTGTTTATTTTAGATATTTCATTTTTTTTTTCTATATTTCTAATAAAAATGTTTAATAGAGGAGAAAATTTTTATAGAAGACAAGACAACATGAAATATGATAAA